CTTGGGCTCAAAATATCAGTGAATTTAGGTCCCTTCCATTTCCTCCCACCCTCACCTTAGTAGGAGAATGAGAAAAGTCTATGTTACCTGTGAATTATACTCGGATCACAGTTTCTCTCTCAATGTAGTCGTTACTATGGCCACAAACTTATTCTTTCCCATATACACTATCCCCATAACCTATAATTCATTCCATAAATGACAAACAGTGGAATCTTGAAGCTACTCACCACCCATTGCAAAACATGTCTACCTGTGCGTGTGTGTGTTTGTGCCGAGTTGTTCAGTTTCGTCTGACTCTTGGGACCCCAGGGACCGTAGCCTGCCAGGCTCTCCTGTCTGTGGGGTTACCTAGGCAAGAATACTGGAGTGGGTTGCCATTTCCTTTTCCAAGGGATCTTCCCCCACCCAAGAATCAAACCTCATCTCTGGCGCCCCCTGCATTGGCAGGCAGATTCTTTACCACTGTACCACCTGGGAAGCCAAACATGTCTATGGCCTATGGAAATAAACCTCACATCTTTAATTTGCTATTAAAGAGTGTGCACCAGTAATCATAAATGCAGATGCCTTCCCAGAGTGAGGAAGGATGGGTAAGAACTGAACTGTATCTGGTGGGGGAGGGGTGCATGCCCCCTGAAAAGGGGGCAGCTGCTACTCAGCCTCACTGTGATATTCCTTGTGGAAGCGTGGTTCATCATTATCCAAGATAATCAGCTTATCAAAGTCATCCTGAAATCCAAGCCTGGGGAATGTGATAAATCTCCTGATTTGATAAATTAGGTCTTTCTTTAAAAAAAAAAAAAAAAACTATGTGTATGCATCAATCAATAAATTGGTTTTTAGCCAGATCTGTCCATAGTCCATCTCTGCTTAACTGCCATTGCTCTGACCTTTATTCCCAGCTGTTTCATATAACATGGATTCCAAAGATATTAACTCACTATTTGCACAATTTGTTCTACTAATTTTCACATTAGGGCCACTTTCCTCCACTCTGACTCCTCTCAAATACCTCCTTGTTTGTGGTTTAGTTGCTCAGTCCTGTCCAACTCTTTGGACCCCGTGGTCTTTAGCCCGTCGCGTTCCCCTGTCCATAGGAATTCCCAGGCAAGAATACTGGCATGGGCTGTCATTTCCTTCACCAGGGATCTTCCCAACCCAGGGATGGAAGCTGTGTCTCCTTCTTTGGCAGGCAGAGTCTTTACCCCTGAGCCATCAGTTTTGCATCAAATCACCACCTACAGTGAATATTTCTTAAAAGGAATGATGCTGAAGCTGAAGCTCCAATACTTTGGCTACCTGATGTAAAGAGTTGACTCATTGGAAAAGACCCTAACACTTGGAAACCTCTGAATCCCATGAAGTGATGCAGAGAAGCCCACGTGACACCTTCATACTCGGTTCAGTTCAGTTCAATCGCTCAATCGTGTCTGATTCTTTGTGACCCCATAGAGGGCCTCACGCCAGGCTTCCCTGTCCATCACCAACTCCTGGGGCTTGCTCAAACTCAGGTCCATTGAATCAGTGATGCCATCCAACCATCTCATCCTCTGTCTTACAAGGTCCTTTGGTGGTGGTGGTTTAGTCATAAACCACCTGGGTCTGACCCAGGTGGTCACCTGGTGGCCACCCTGTCTGACCCTTGTGACCTCATGACTATAGCCCACCAGGGATTCTTCAGGCAAGAATACTGGAATGAGTTGCCATTTCCTTCTCTAGGAGGTCTTCTCAACCCAGGAATGAAACGCAGGTCTCCTGCATTGCAGGCAGATTCTTTACCAACTGAGCTATGAGGGAAGCCCATAAATTCCTTACTATACAGTAATCTCATAATTTCTAAAAATATATATGCTATTTTGAGTTAAATAGCATATCAGTTCAGTTCAGTCACTCAGTTGTGTCCTAGTCTTGTGGCCCCATCGACTGCAGCACACCAGGCCTCCCTGTTCATCACCAACTCCCAGAGCTTGCTCAAACTCATGTGCATTGAGTCAGTGATGCCATCCAACCATTCCATCCGCTGTCATCCCCTTCTCTTCCTGCCTTCAATCTTTCCCAGCATCAGGGTCTTTTCCAGTGAATCAGTTCTTCCCATCAGGTGGCCAAAGTATTGGGGTTTCAGCTTCAGCATCAGTCCTTCCAATATATATTCAGGACTGATTTCCTTTAGGATGGACTGGTTGGATCTCCTTTCAGTCCAAGGGACTCTCAAGAGTCTTCTGCAACACCACATTTCAAAAGCATCAATTCTTCAGCACTCAGGTTTCTTTATAGTCCAACTCTCACATCCACACATGACTACAGGAAAAAACCATAGCTTTGACTAGATGGATTTTTGTCACCAAAGAAATGTCTCTGTTTTTTAATATGCTGTCTAGGTCAGTCATAGCTTTTCTTCCAAGGAGCAAGCAACTTTTAATTTTGTGGCTGCAGTCACCATCTGCAGTGATTTTGCAGCCCCTCAAATAAAGTCTGTCACTGTTTCCATTGTTTCCCCATCTATTTGCCATGAAGTGCTGGGACCTGATGCCATGACCTTCATTTTTTTGAATGCTGGTTTTTAAGCCAGCTTTCTCACTCCTCTTTCACTTTCATACTCAGTGCATGAAATGAAAGCAGAACACTGAGTTTAAGGAGATCAAATATTTTACTATGGGCAGTAGTTTTGCCCGACTTCAGAGGAAGACTCCATCTCTATACGCCAAAAGCATTGACGATACAAACATCATTGCAAATTACAAACAAATTACAAACATCATTGTAAACTAACATCATTAACAATGACGCTAATATAGTAAGTCTATTACTATTATTATAGCAATATAGTTACGTCCCCTACATATAAACCTTCAAGTTGTGAACTTTCAAAGAGGTGAACACGAGGGACGCGGAATCTGGTTGGTCGAGGCGGAGTCACGAGGGTGCCGCCGTCGCCTTTCCAGAGGCGATTACTGGGCAGGCTCAGTCTTTCGCCTCAGTCTCGAGCGCTAGCTGGCAGCCAAGCGTACGCGCTGAGGGATTAGCGGCCGCCATCGACGGTGCTTAGGTTCCTCTGGGCTCGCCTGCGCCACTCGCTCGCCACACACTCCGCCGTCATAAGCCGCCATCATGGTAAAGCTCGCAAAGGCCGGTAAAAATCAAGGTGACTCCAAGAAAATGGCTCCTCCCCCAAAGGAGGTAGAAGAAGATAGTGAAGATGAGGGAATGTCAGAAGATGAAGACGATGAGAGCAGTGGAGAAGAGGTTGTTATCCCTCAGAAAAAAGGCAAGAAGGCTACCACGACTCCAGCAAAGAAGATGATGGTTTCTCCAACAAAAAAGGTTGCAGTTGCCACACCGGCAAAGAAAGCAGTTGTCACCCCTGGCAAAAAGGCAGCAGCTGTGCCGGCCAAGAAGACAGTTACACCTGCCAAAGCAGTGGTAACACCTGGCAAAAAGGGAGTCACCCCAGGCAAAGCATTGGTGGCAACCTCTGGTAAGAAGGGAGCAGCTGCCTCAGGCAAGGGAGCAAAGAACGGCAAGAATGCCAAGAAGGAAGACAGTGATGAAGAAGAGGAAGATGACAGTGAAGAGGAAGACGAGGAAGATGAAGAGGAGAATGAACCAGCAGTGAGGAAGGCAGCTGCTGCTTTTGGTGATGCTCCTGCCACAGATGATGAGGATGACGAGGATGAGGATGATGATGAAGATGAGGAGGAGGAGGAGGAGGAGGATGAGGAGGACAAAGATGACTCTGAAGAAGAACCTATGGAGATTGTGCCAGCCAAAGGAAAGAAAGCTCCAGTAAAAGCTGTTCCTGTGAAGGCCAAGAGTGCTGCTGAAGATGAAGAGGATGATGATGAAGAGGAGGACGACGATGAAGAGGAGGACGACGATGAGGAGGAAGAGGATGAGGAGGAGGAAGAGGAGGAAGAGGAAGAAGAGCCTGTCAAAGAAGCACCTGGAAAACGAAAGAAGGAAATGGCCAAACAAAAAGTAGCTCCTGAAGCCAAGAAACAAAAAGTGGAAGGCACAGAACCAACTACATCTTTCAATCTCTTTGTTGGAAACCTGAACTTCAATAAATGTGCTCCTGAATTGAAAACGGGTATCAGTGATCTTTTTGCTAAAAATGATCTTGCTGTTGTTGATGTCAGAATTGGTGTGTCTAGGAAGTTCGGCTATGTGGATTTTGAATCTGCCGAAGACCTGGAAAAAGCCTTGGAACTCACTGGTTTAAAAGTCTTTGGCAATGAAATTAAACTAGAAAAACCAAAGGGAAAAGACAGTAAGAAAGATCGAGATGCAAGAACACTTTTGGCTAAAAATCTGCCTTACAAAGTTACTCAGGATGAATTAAAAGAAGTGTTTGAAGATGCTGTGGAGATCAGATTAGTCAGCAAGGATGGAAAGAGTAAAGGGATTGCTTATATTGAATTTAAGACAGAAGCTGATGCAGAAAAAACCTTGGAAGAAAAGCAGGGAACAGAGGTAGATGGGCGAGCCATTTCTCTGTACTACACCGGAGAGAAAGGTCAAAGTCAAGACCATAGAGGGGGAAAGAATAGCACTTGGAGTGGTGAATCAAAACCCTGGTTTTAAGCAACCTCACCTATAGTGCAACGGAAGAAACTCTTCAGGAAGTTTTTGAGAAGGCAACTCATATCAAGGTGCCCCAGAACCAAAATGGCAAATCTAAAGGGTATGCATTTATAGAATTTGCTTCATTTGAAGATGCTAAAGAAGCTTTAAATTCATGTAATAAAAGGGAAATTGAGGGCAGAGCCATCAGACTGGAGTTGCAAGGACCCAGGGGATCACCTAATGCAAGAAGCCAGCCACCCAAAACTCTGTTTGTCAAAGGTCTCTCTGAGGATACCACAGAAGAGACGTTAAAGGAGTCGTTTGATGGCTCTATTCGAGCAAGGATAGTCACTGACCGGGAGACTGGATCCTCCAAAGGGTTTGGTTTTGTAGACTTCAATAGTGAGGAAGATGCCAAAGCTGCCAAGGAGGCCATGGAAGATGGTGAAATCGATGGAAACAAAGTCACTTTAGACTGGGCCAAACCTAAGGGTGAAGGTGGCTTTGGTGGTCGAGGAAGATGCAGAGGTGGCTTTGGAGGCCGAGGTGGTGGCAGAGGTGGCCGAGGTGGATTTGGTGGCAGAGGCCGGGGAGGCTTTGGAGGGCGAGGAGGCTTCCGAGGAGGCAGAGGAGGAGGAGGAGACCACGAGCCACAAGGAAAGAAGACGAAGTTTGAACAGTTTCTTCTATCCCTGTCTCTCCCTCTTCCATTTGAAAGAAAGGACTCTGGGGTTTTTACTCTGTTACCTGATCAATGACAGAGCCTTCTGAGGACATTCCAAGACAGTATACAGCCCTGTGGTCTACTTGGAAATCCATATAGATAACATTTCAAGGGAGATAACCCTGTTGGTGTTGACTGGATAAAGAGATGAGTGATAGAGCTAACCCTTATCTGTAAGTTTTGAATTTATATTGTTTCTTCCCATGTACAAAACCGTTTTTTTCCTACGGAGTTTTTTTTTTTTTTTTTTTTTTTTTTTTTTTTTTGCGTTGGGGGGTGTAAAGGAAAGCAGAATGTTTTATCATGATTTTTGCTTCAGCAATTTTGGGACAAATTAAAAGTCCTAGAACTCTGGTGCCAGCCGTGTAAAAAAAAAACAACAAAAAAAAAAACAAAGAGGTGAACACGCGTCTGGTTCCAGCAAGGAGCCGGAAGCTGTGTCATCAACGTCAGGCCGCAGCCCGCGCTCCGTCTCTGATCCTGCGGCGCTGCCGTCCGCCACCTCCCCTGCCGTCTCCGATCTGTGATTCTTCGTGCTGTTCGCTCGATGCCAGCCCGAGTGGGCCAGCTTTCCGGCTGTCCTGTTGCACTCTGCGAGCTACTCTACTAGAAGATTAAAAATGCTTTATTTTTGTGTTTGTGCCTTACTATTTAATATGGTTTTATTACTCGTGTGAAAAGAATCGGAAGCGTCTTACAGTACGGTACTATATAGATTGTGTCAGTTGGACTTATGAACAAGTTGGGCTTACACACATGCTCTTGGAAGGGAACTTGTTCGTAGGTAGGGAACTTACTATGCTCTATAACAGGGCAGTCAGTGCCTCTGTTTTTAATAGTGCAGAAATGTAAAATATATATATATATAAGACAGTTTTTCAAAGTTAAAACTCCCCATACTTTTCCCAGGCATCCAAAGTAAACTTGCCAAGTTGTGTCTGAGACCAGAAAATTCACTTGGTATAATTCTGACCTGTTGGTTCCCTTTTCTTCTCATATAAATGATGCGATTTTGCTCAATCTCTAACAGGCAGGCTGCCTGTGAGTCAAACAACCAGCTTGAAAAACCAGTGCTGTCTGCAGACAACGGAAAATCTTGTAGCCCCCTGCACATGGAGGAGGAGTGATCAGAGGACGAGTAAGATCACTTCTCCGCTTACACCTTCCCTGACCTGTTTACAGTCTCAAATGTGCTTAGCTTTTTACGTTACTTCAGTTACGGTCAGAATTGCATCCTCTCTTGTTGTACTAAGGTTTACTTTTGCATTAATACCAAAAATGTTTTTTAGACTTAATTTTGTGCATACTTGCTCTATTGATCTGAATAACCAGTTTAAGCATTTTGCCTCACCAAATCAAGAATATTAATTTGTAGTACAGAGCTTAATACACGATGTGGCCCAACTAACAATGTCCAAACTCACTCGTGCATTTATTTATTTAGCCTTAAAAACTAACTTGAAGGTATTAATTTTGGAAAGCTGTGTTAGCTAATCCTCAGTGCTGTCTCCTTGACCTTAAAAACAGATTTTTGAAAGGGGTGTACTAGATTAACCATCTGTCAAATACGGTAGCCTTTAAAGTCATTGTTAGCAATTTTAAAATGCGAATAGTAAAACTGAGCAACTGAGTTTTCATTTTATTTAACTTTAATTGAGGAAAATTTTAATCTAAAAGCCAATGGTCAACTTGGTTATGTAAAAACTTTTAAGTATGTTTGGAATAACTGATGTTTATGAATCTACTTTCCAACAGTAAATTTAAGGAGAGCTAAATGTGGATCAAGTATTTGCCATGAAAATTGAGCATCCAAAATTGATGTGATAAAAGAATAAAATTCAGAACAGACTTTAAAGGAAGATAAATTTTAACTACACATAAGGTTTGCAATATATTGGGCAGACCTAGAGACTTTCTCTGTGTGTATTCTTCAAAAAGTTGGTAAATTTTTATGTCCATATTTTCTAATAAGATCTCTATGTGACTGCATTTAGTTACCAGGAATTCAGTCTTATATATTAAATAATTTCATTAAAGCAATCATAAAAATATTTCAGTTTTATTGAATATCTTTACACATCTTAGAAATAATATCAGTGATAAGTGGTTCAAAATATAAGTGATTTAAGCTAATCCAATTTAATGACTGTGTTTTACCTTATTGAGATTCTTGTTAAGCCTCACCTGGCTAGATTTGTTAGTTACATTTAAATCTGTTTCTACAAGGGACCATCAAAACTATTTCCCTGCGAAAATCAGTAGCATTATTAAGCCGCAGGAATAGCACTACACCCTCAGCATTTTGGTGGCAGGTTTAGCCTAATCTACTGATCCATTTTTAAAATATCAAAAGCAGAGAACCATGTGAAAATCTTATTTTCCCTCTGGACCAAATTCTGCATTCTCTGCCCAACTGGATAGTGTATCAAATTGATTGAGAATTGTGCCAACACAAATGCAGCTGTTTAGAAGTGGAAATGTTTACTATGTAGAAACTCCAAGCTGTATCCCATAATATGTTTAAGATTAAGTCCACCCAGGGAGAAAAGCCTAGGGCACAAGCAAACTCCACTTGCCCTCACCCCAGATTCCATCATGCCTTCTCCGCTCAGTCTTCATTTCCCCTCTTGCTGCAGTGCCAGCAGACACATCTGACCAAAATACGGGCATTCCAGAGCCTGAGATCAGAGTACAGTGTCTCTGATTACTCTGATTGCTGTGTGTGTGTTATGCGAGTGTCTGAGGACAGAAGCATCGGCAAAAGAAAAACAGAGAAACAGCCCTGGCTAGTCCATCAGGGCTTACTTGCTTTCACTCTCCACCACCCTGCTCTGCCTTCTATACATTTGAAGTTCATTTAATTTTATTTTTATTTAGAGAATACTTTATTAGTTTCTATAATCAAACCCATATATTTAAGACAGTGTGCCCTCCCCCCACCCCGTTCAAATGGAAAAATTACGTTTAATATTTCTAGACCAATATGGCTGTTAATTTCTGTCTGATGCCAACCCAAAACAGTACACTGGGATACTTTTTCTAAAGTTGACAGCACAGCTAAAGTTTCAAAAAATTCAAGTTATATATCTATCTATCTATCCACCTGTATATGAGGCAACCAATAGAAGTATGTTATGCATCAATAGAAGATCCCCCTGGAGGAGGTCATGGCAACCCACTCCAGTATTCTTGCCTGGAAAACTCCATGGACAGAGGTGCCTGGCGGGCTACAGACCATAGGGTTGCAAAGAGCTGGACACTACTGAAGCAACTTAGCGCACACTCATGCAGGCATTAATAGCAGTAACAGTTCTTCCAGGTTCTGCAGTCATTTGAAAAAAAATTACAGACACATTCAGCACTTTTCATATATATATGGTAAAAGACAAAACCTGGGAAAAGAGCAAATTCTCTTACTATTGTGGTACCTTCCAGCATTTTTGTTTTTCAATTAGCTTCTCAATCTTCATCTGGCAAGAACATTCTAGGATAACATTTTTAAACACACATCGGATAAAGCACAGTTTATTTTAAACTCCTTTTCTCCTACTACGCCTGCTTACTGCCCAGTTAGCTGTAAGTCCTGTGCTTGCCTTTGTTTTTAGTTCTGACTGACTTCATTTTGATTTTGTCTGATGCATCTGATTTACATGTCTGTGTTTCAATAATATGGTAGCCTATTTTTAAAATTACTTTATTGGTGAACACGCTAGCAGCAAAGAAACTTCCTACTATATAGGAGACATAATAAGATGTCAGTTTGATCCCTGGGTCGGGAAGATCCCCTGGAGGAGGGCCTGGCAACCCACTCCAGTATTCTGCCTGGAGAATCCCATGAACAGAGGTGACTGGCAGGCTACAGACCATACAGTCACAAAGTGTTGGATATGATTGAAGCAACATGGCATGCATGCACAAACATCTTTAATGGGCATTAATCTCACTGCTCTATTTATATGTAGAGATCTAATCATTACTAAGTTGTAAAGAGGAAAAGATAAAAAGAAATAGAACTTTGCTATCTCCTCTAATTAGCTGAAGTTGTCATAATAGAAGGGCTAATCTCTGTTAGCCTTCAGATATTAAAATTAGACCATCTTGGTCTTTGCTAGAGAATGCCAAGTTTAAAAATCTTCAATATTTTCTTTAATAAATTGTGGATATTTGATGGCTTAGGGAGTATTTTCTCTTTCTTCTGTTTAATATACTAGAATATTAGTCTTACCGTTCTAGTTTTAAATATACTTAAGCATGAAATAAACAGTAAGATTTCTTTAAATATCATTAATTTTCTGAAAGTTTTAAAATATTGTTTCCCTTCATTTGTTCAAAGGTTAATTCAGACTAGCAGTAAAAGTTGTGATTGAATATTGATTCTGCAAGCAGAATTAAAACCTGAATGCATTTCATTTAGTTTTGATAATTAAAATATAGACAATGAAATTATATAGAGCTATAACTGTACTTCTATAGAAAAATATCTGCCAAATTAAAGGGGAAAAGTAAATGTATCATACTTTCCCTGAGCTAGAAGATCCTCTTGCATGCACTTGCAATTTTTGTCAGTAAAACTATTATTAAAAGTCTTGGGGATGAAGCAAATTACAACATATTCTTAAAGTTTAAGAAGTTTCCACTTTTTTTTTTTTGGTTTAACTTTTACTGCAATGCTATGAGGCAGGCATTATCTTCATGTTAAAAAATTATAAAGCCAACTTCCAACTGCAAGAAAGTGCAGTTTATCTCCTTGCAAAATATCCCTTAAACTGTGCACAGAATGAACAGCAGCATGCAAGCTCTATCTTTGGGGCTAAAGATGTCTTTGCTCTCAGTCATAGTGCAGGTAGAGCGCGTGGAGAGGCAATTTGACTGATGCAGCACCAGTTCCTCTAGAAGCAAAAGCAAGAGAGTGCTATTTGCAAAAAGTCTACCTAAGGCACTGCTGGGTCTTCAAGACCACCCTGGGCAGGCAGATGTCTTGCTGTTGTTCAGTTGCTAAGTAACGTCTGACTCTTTGTGACCCCGTGGACTATA